TACAAACGTGTTTTCCCACCATAGTAAATAATTGTACTGTTTTAACTAATGAAGCAAATAGGTTGATGTAATCTTCAAATCCAGTGAATCCAATTATTGTAATTTGTCTACGCTGTTTTCCATGGCTGCCTTCTCTGCGCCTCAGTCAGTCACCCATTGCAACTACAATCAGATCATAGTGTACTCTAGCTTACAGTCGGAGTTCTTATTTAAAAAAAATGGAAGCAATTCTGTATACTACCACAAATGTGAACAGAAATCATAAGCTGATATTGTATCAAGTAGTTTGGTGGGAGCTAATGTCTGTATGAGAAAATCATTGGAAATAAAGCCATTCGTTTCAACGTGAAATATTGTGTCATGTGGAAGTGAGGATCCAGCTGTCTCTTCAGACTGTTAGGAATTCTTCATGCAGTTTCTTGGAGGAATTTCCAACTATTAAGATGGAAAGGGAGCATCATCTTTCCTACCATAGTTCCTGATCTCTCCCCCCCTCCCCTCCCAGTGCCATTAGCAACACTATCTGAATTTTTTGGGTGGTCCACCAATCTTGTAGAAAGCATTTTGGGAGCAGAGTAGTAGACAGGACTGGGAATTGTTGAGGATTCTATTCCTAATTCTGCTAGTGGATATGCTTCACTAGATTAATTAATTGACTAGAGGAATTGAATCCATTTATATGGCAACCAAAATAAATTTACCAGTAATTGATCTGCGGAAAATATCAAGCTGATCCTAAGTCTGTTTCAGGAAGTTCATTTCATTGATGTCAGTGGCATTTAAATTATGTGTTAATGTTAAACAGCTGTTCTTAATTATATCATTTTTCTTTGATCAAAGATGATTATTGGTAAAAAGTCAGTCCATCCGTTTAAAATATTTTGATAATTTTATTTTGATTTTCAGAACATTGCCTTTTGATGTATTTGTAAAAAGAGCAGCTGAAATCAAACATTCGGATTATTTTCTTTCAGAGGTAATATATTATTTGCTTACTAATAGTTTAGTTCAGCTGTTTTTTAGTGTAGGTTCTTTTTCAGCTATCAAACTACATGGTACTTGATAAGACAAATAAATATTAATGTGCCTATTCACTGCAATTAATTTTCTATGTGTTTGTATTTTTAAGGATGAAAAGTATTATTTACGATCATTGGGAGATGATGCCCGAAAGGTGAGTACATTGTGTAAGTAAAAACTCATCCTAAAAATGTTAGTGCACCTCTGAGCTATCCCAGATAATACTTACATAAATTCTGTCCTTAGTTTGTGCTTTTTTACTATGTTTAAATAGAGAGAATGGAGAATCATAAAGCTGATAGAGAAAAGGATTGACTAGTGTTATCACTGTTATTTTCTGGGACAGATGAGGAAATAGATGTTTTTGCAAAAAGAGTTTTATCCTGCCTTGCAACTCCCTGACTCATGATTTGGAAAGACATTTGAAAATCAGTATTTCATTGGACTGTTGAGTGAATTTCTGAGCCATTTGCTATCTTGTTTACCCATATTAACTTCAGCAGTTCAATATTAAAACTGCTCCTAACATATTCATATTTTTTCTATTCCTTTTTGAGATGCATGCCCCAATTTCTTCACAATCTGGAAATGAATGTAGGATTTGAAGTGTTTCAAATGAAGCCCAATTATCCATGCTTATTGTGTATTATTTGAACTTGCTCAGTGGAAACATGGATACATATTTGATGGATTGGCTTGTTCTAAATGTCCTATTGGTAGCCCAAGCTAATCAAAATCTCTTCAAATTGAAGAGATTTTGA